ATACAGCATATTATCCCATTGACTTATCCAAATTACACCATTTCACGCAGTACGTAATGCCAAATAACACATTACGCAACATAACCTATGAACTTGGCTGTACAACTGAGCTGACCCTTAACAGAAGTAGTAAATTGGATAGGCCATAGGTTCTAAAAGTGCTCTCAAAGTGAGAAAAACTTTGGGGCTTCGCGAGCTTTTCGTTCACTTCGCTAATTTTGTAACTGTCCAAAGAAGCAATAACGGCATTAATAAAATTGACAACAGTAGCGTTGAAATGTGGCAACAATGTGTAGTACGCCATTTCACGCTGTACGTAATGCCAAATAACACTTTACACAACATGGCTTATGAACTTTTTCGTACAACTGATTCGACCCAAAGCATTATTTTGTCACACTTCAACACCTTAAAAGCTACCAAAACAATCTTGCGGCTTAACGCTTTTCAGTTTTGACAATGATGTATTTTGTTTAAGCGTGCTAATACTAGATTTTGTAAAACTTTTCGTGTCGTTATGCCTAGTTTATATATCTAAGAGACGTTTTTGCATTTTAATATTAAACAATGATTGGTAAATGGCTTCTATTTTAGGGAAGGCCGGGTTATTTATTTTTTCGCATTACCTACCCAATTCATAACATATCATTTGAGTTATTAGACTCTCCAGAAACGTGGGTTGTCAAGACTCTTGCGGGTCTAAGAAGCGTGTCACGAGAAATTATTATGTATGATACAAAAAATGCTTCTTTTTACATATAAAAGAGGACGCATATGGCCTTTGGCTCCCATATAGAACTACGAAGCAATTCTCTAAGGGTCACGAGGACAGACCTTCACTGGTACCATTTGCAATGACTACGTTAATTTTATAGTAAATTGACTGTGTAACTTATTGATTTCTTTGACTGTTATGCATTTATCCGTTTGCTTTCATTTCTTGACTTTCTTATTATTTAAACGTGGCGAATAATATAAATGATAGAAACGTGTTAAAAGAAAAACGAGGAGAATTGTTTATTTTTCAATGAACGGGTGTGTTCCAGGCGATGGCACCACTTTTGAAAATCGCTCTATTGTGTTTTTATATTTTGCCACCACAAATTTAATCCACGGATTTGATAAACTTAACCATGGGTGGGCGCCATTATTTTATTTACATATTGAATTTTTTGTATAAATATTGATAATAAGTAATGTCACTAATAATGGCAAAAATTTCGCGGTGTTTTGTACGAAAAAAATCGCCAATTTTGTTTACTTTTTGGTATATTTCAGTGGGCGGCCCATTGACGGTTACAGGTTGTGTGACCTTAACAATTAATCGGTGTTGTAATGTAAGAAAGGCTTTTAGCTTCCGTTCGCTTTTCTAAATATAGAATTGTCTGAGATAGTGATCTTTGATAACATTCATAAAAGCGGATAAGAGGAGAATATTAATTGTACAGACACGTTAACATGCGTTCTATTCGACCGAAACAAGCTTTTAAAAACCTCAAAATTTAGAAATGGCAACAAACTTTTAATGGAGAATTGGCACGTTATGGTTTTTAATATACCTATTTTTTCAAACAACACCTTTTTGCACTTAACCTTATATCAAAGAAAATCGATAAAATTATGTTAAAAAATGAAGAAAAAATTTAAACACTTTGAAGGCATTATATATAAGGTGACGTCATACTATGTTTCTTTTACTCAAAAACCCATTTTTTTTAATTCACCAATAAGTCATTTAAGCATGTAACATGTAATGCATGTAAGTGTCAAATAAGTTGGTTTAGAAATTCAAATAACTAGGAAAGTGATGAAAAAGAGTGTGAGATCATCACGTGATGTCATATTTATTTTTATATTCAAAAAAGAATGTTTATTTGTTTCTTCAAATGCACTTATTAGCTTTAAATACTAAGAGTCAATCCCATTAATTGCTCTTATATATTACCAAATAATATTAAAATCATATTGGTACTCCCGTAGTGTGTGTACCAGGTTAGGGTTAGCGCATAAATTTATTTCGATTTTCTTTATTTCAGTTCTATTACGAGTTCGGGGACTGTCTGTGTTAGCCAAGTGAATATCCCCCCTCGCCCATAGGTTTCAGTCCCTTTACACAACTTGATGTAAAATAGGTGAACAAATTAGTTACCTCCATATTGGTACACATACTTCTTGAGTGCCGAAATTGGAACTTCGCTTTTATTAAACTATCTTAAGTTTATGGTAAAACAAATATTCCGAAAAATCTATAAATAACTTCACCAAATAGCTTAGCGTAATAAAATGAACCACCCAGTGAACTCTCATTATTTTTTGAAACATAGGTTTTAAAGTATTAAATGATCTTATCTGAGAATCACGCCAAATATGTTATTCATAAAAGCTTTACGACCACGGCTATGAACTCTTTGACTGCGGTCCCCAACCCAAATTTAGGAAAATGAATTTCGTAAAATCTCGTGGCTAAAGGATATGCTTAATACTAAAGGCATTTAGGTTTATATGGCTGCAAAACTGAATTACCAATAACAAATAACTGTACTGCCGTAATGTGTATACAAGGTTAGGGTTAGGCCATAATTTTATTCATTTTTTTCTTATTTTATTTCTCTTACGAGTTCGTGGACTGTCTGTGTTAAAATCAAACTGAAGCCAAATTTTGATGTTTAAGCTAAAAAAGAATCAAGTAATTTGTTAAATTTGCGATTTGATTAATTTCGTCATGAGGCTTATTGTTTTTAACTTTTGCATTTGTAACGCTGTAAATACTGTTCATGAAATGTAACATTATACGTCACACTTACATGACCGCCAGTCTTAGTGGGCGAAAGTTTTGGCCCCTAGTTCAAAAACCTTGCCCACTTCTCGTCTGGAGTCATTTTCATATCGATACCGTAAAACAACTTTATTTTAATTGTACAGTTTGACCAATGTTTATAAAATGAAATTCTAACTGGGATTATCTCCTGTCAGTAACGCAGGATTAAAAAATCGGGATCAAACTAACCCCCCCTCTTACTGTGGGTGATCTTCACCCTAGCGTGTTAAATATGGCTTCCTGATGAAAGGAGCTGTCCTCGTTTGAACCGAGGGACTTGTGTTAACGAGTATTGTGCTATTTTTTTGTTCTGTTTTCTTTGGTTTTGTTTATCTTACGTTAGGTTAGGATAAGTTTTTTCCCTAGCTATGTTTAATCTAATCTTTGCTAATCTAACTTTAACATAATCAATAAAACATACGGGGATTTAGTGGTGAGGCAAAAACCAATAGACGATGAGGTTTGGTACTATTTTATTGTATCGAACATGGCAATTTTTTGTAGATTGAAAGCTATTTAGATTCTCACGCCTCTTGAAAAACCCGTTTTTTCTGTCGGACCGGCTACCTGTCACGGTCTATATTGTCAAGTAAAAATTTCAGCCGTCTCTCCCACCGATCAGAAGCTGGGGCGTACCCAATATAAATGTTAAGGTTCGGACACCCATAAGCACCCCTATAGTAATTTCTGGCAACGCTAAGCTGGACATAATCAAAAGAGATCAGTAAAGGTTGACAATAACACCGTGCCTATTACCGAAACTGCAAAGCAAACATACTTAACTATTTCAATCTATTTGACCAGTGGCCGAAAGATTTAACTTGAAATGTTATTAATATCAGGTTTCATTGAGTCTGTGATTGACAGTTTGATCCCGTCGTCCTGCGCCAGTGGCTTCCAAAATCCCTTTGCCTATTTTATAAACTCCTCATTCCCTTCTTACGATGCATAGGAGCCCATTTTTGTTGTTTATTCTTCAATGGAGGAATGTCGGGCAGCGGGCGAAATGCAGCCCACAAGGATAAATTGTGCGCCATCGAAACGAGTTTTTCATTTAGTTTAATTTGGCACGTGCAAGACGCAGTTGGGCCACGCCATCGTGATCTCCCCACACATGTCTTATGACATCATATTTTTATTTTATGACGTCAGATTTTTGTGTTCTAATTTTTTACTTTAAATTGACTTTTGAATTGAATATTTAACCTTGCTTAGAGATGAATCCCCTTCAATTCTGAATGATCTTTCTTTAAGCAAATCGCTAGAAACTGAAATGCGACCAATATATCATGGTTGGAATGTCTTGAATGCGTACACAACAATGAGAACATCATGCTTCCAAATGTCGCTAGGTTATTCTGTAATTTTACACAATTTTATTTTATTGCGACAGATTTTTGTGTTCTGCCTTCTTACTTTGAATTAACTTTTAGATTGAATTTCAAATCAACTTGGCTCAGAAATGATTCCTCTCTAGTTTAAGCAGAATCGGACTCTAACGCTATCGATAAGCCGCACTCGAATGTGTAAGATAAAATGCTTTGAAGTGGTTTTCATTTGCACGCAACACAAGGATGTAATAAATCATTTTAATGTGGTAAACAAGCTAAATGAGATAAACGAGGTTGACCCATAGAAAACAAATCGCCCTTACTAACGTTGGATTTTTGCGTTTTAAATTTATTTTTGATGAGCTGAATTATTGCGGAAGTTCTCTTCATTGGGTTACTACTGTTTCGTTTAATGAAGCGAGATAAATGTAGCAACAATAAGGTTATTTTTTTACCATATTTAAGTCCCGGGGACACTAAAAAACTTTAACTAAACTATAAATTTCTTAATTAATTCTACGAAAATGTAGGAATAATATTAACCCTATTATAAACTTCTGTCTGCGTATGATCATTCCAAAATTTTTAGTAACCTAAAACGCTTTTCAGGAAAGTTATGTTATTTTCCTGTTTTCCATAATATGTACCAATATATGGGGTGTGCAATCTTTATTACAGAAGAACAGAAGGGCCAGATACAAGTAACTGGGTGAAGTCGCGGGCCACACCTTGCTTTAAGATAGCCTTTGGCCCGCGGACCGCAGTTTGCACACCCCTGACCTGACCTATACCACCACTCAAACGAGTTGACTGTCTTTAATTCCCTAAAAATATTTCAATTTCTATTTCAGCGTGCTCACTGAAACAATTCAAGAATCATGTTGGGAACCAGATGTGCAAGAGATGTCCTTCCTACAGCAGTTCAATGGACACGGGTTCGACCATTTGTGCTTGCTCGCATCATTATTACAGAGCAGATAACGATGACCCGACAAAAGAATGCACAAGTAAGGAGGCGATTCTATTTTTTTGAAAGAGGAGAGGGGCATTACTATATACACAAGTATGAGAGAGGTAGATTATTCTTTTTAGGAGGGGGGGATGTTCGGTGGGAGTTTATAACCCCCGAGTCTTGAGCCAAGTCGAGTCACGGGCCATCTGAGTTCGAAATCGAGTCAGTCACCGGGTAGGGTTTCATTGACGGTTAGTTGAAGACGATTTCGATTGATTAGATTTAGATGTCTCTAGTTACTTCAAGTCTTTTATCACTTAAAACTAGAGTCCAACTTTTTTCAACACTGGGAGATGCATTTCTCGTTTCGGACGAGGGGGAGTTAAAACAAATACTAAGCGATTGAGCGATACTACTGAAGACAACACTGCGAGGGGGGAACCTTGTTTGTTTTAAAAGAAGAGCGAAAAAGTTTTAAAAGCGATTGAGTGTATTATTTAAAGGCCATAGTAGACAAAGCAATTTTATGAGGAAGAAAATAATTCGGAAGTTAATATTGTCTTTTCTCTCTCTATTCCGATGTTTCTCTCTCTTTATAAGGAGTTAACTTTGCACCAACCAACTCTTTTTCAAGTAGCTATTTTAAAACATAGCTCATTTCAATATCCTATGGTTTGCAAAACCCGGTATTCAGTTTTCGGTTTTAGTTCAGTATGTTTTATAAACAAATACTAATTAGTTGACTATACTAAAGAACTACTCATATATAAGAATTCTTATACGCCGTTTTTTTCCATTATGTTGAAAGTCTCATTACTCATTTTCGAATCGGCCCAATCCTAAATTTTGGGGTTTTCAAAGCCTCGAATTTCTTTGAAATCAAACAATCTCCCGATCCAATCATTGATACCAGTAGTAAAATGTTGTTGAAAAACGACCCAATTCAGTTAACAAGTTTCCTATTCGTGCAAAATGACCCATGTCCTTCCTGGGTCGCAATAAGATGACAATAACAACAAATGTCTAACAATAGACTGTCGAGTACTTCCGCACTTCTATTGGAAACAGATGTAAACTTGGATGGCAAATCATTTTTGGAGGCGTTTTAACGTGGCCTAGCGGGTAAAGCGTTAGACTTAACTATGATGACATCGTATGTTAAATATCTCCGGTTCAAATCCCATGCACATCATCTCACCCAGACTATTATACTTTGGGGATGAAGTACAATCACACTACTATTAGAAATAAATGACGAATAAAATTGAACAGTCATTATTTCGCAACGCTTTCCTTTCGAATTAGACGCTGTATAAGCAAACACTGACAAGAAGCGTGATGGCGCCTCTGAATCCACTGTGTTATTGGTAGGCGCGTAGTCCCCTCCCCCCACAATTTTTTTAAAATGTAAAAAAAAAAATTCATCTCACATGGCAACTTTCGTAGCTTGAAGACCCTCAATACTCTAGAAAAATATCGATATACTTCAGTTAGTTTAGAATTACATAGGCAATGCTGAAAAGGAAAGATCCCTAGCTCATTCCAAAAATAGTAACTTCTTACATATCGTTGGATATCAGTTAGTGCTAGGGATGTTGATTTGAACTCGCGATTCGCAATGCCAACACAAATCAGTCAAACTCATACAACCGCCAGTCTATACCGCCACGCTTAGAATAACATTCACATATTTTACGGGTAATTCATCCTAAAATAATTTATGAAATTGGGCAAAAACAGACAATTCCTCTTTTCGCGTGATTTGATATCAAAAACCCTAACAGGTGGGAGAAGCGATAAATATACAATCACGACCATCAAGTTAATGAAGGGTAGCTAGTACAGGATTTCTGAAAAACAAGGCCCATAGTATGGTTCTCAGCATTTTATTTCATTTTAGGGGAGTGACCCCATATTTGGGGGATGGTAGATCTGTTACTATTAGCGATAAAACTATGTGTAAAATGTTACCTATATTTAACTGACCATCTGCACTGGTATATAGTTGCAGATGGTATATAGTCTTCATCTATATCCAAACATGGATACAGTGGATTACGTGAATAGCCATGGGGTTATAGGTCGGACCCCTATACCCACCCACTTTTTTGGAAGAAAACTTTTTTTTTTCATGCATAGCAATTTTCCGTAGGTTGAAACGCTTTTTAAACTCTCGATGGCCTTGAAGATCCACGTCTTTTGGACCCGCCAGCTAATACCGTCCAATTTTACGAAATTTCAGAGCCCCTCCCCCCCCCCTTTAAAAAAATTTTGGATACGCTCCTGTGCGACGCCAACATAGATTTTCTTATAGAACTTTCTCAACACCGGCTTTGTGTGAGTGTGGGTAGCGCAAACTTAATAACTTATCGTTATATTGGAATAATATGTATTCGCTCTTTGATTATCCGATGTTTTCGTACAATTTTATTGTTTATGGTTTATTTTGGAACGCGAATCACAGCTATATTAGTATTCAATATAAGTCACGTGAACATTGTGAAATAGCTTCCGTCTTTATTATGACGCGACATATCTGATTGTCACGTATAAAAGAATTAAATAAACATGTATTATTATCTCACAAATGTCAATGCCTCGATGAAAGAAATATGTTTTCTTAGAATTCTATAGAGCGTATGCCATGAATAGAAATATCGACGCTCTTGATACGAGACACGCGATATGTTGATATATCATAATTAATTCTAGCGTCTTAATCTTTTATTGAATAAAAATAGGAATATGAGCTTTTCTTATATGCCTTCTAACAAGGAATTGTATGTGAAGCCATCGCTGGGTACATGGGCGTAGACAAGAATTAGTATAGAAGAGTAGAAAAGTTCTATAGATTTCTACCAAAAAATACAATCTTCAACCAATAAAACTTTCCAATCAATTGGTCCAGTTAATGAAAAAAGCAATTTTTTCACAAGAAGCCGAAAAAGAAATAATAACATGATGATCGACAACAACTAAACGATTCATAGATCCACTTTGTGTCAAATAATATAAAACATATACCTATATTCATTTATTGTTAATTTCAGAACCGCCATCAAAGCCAACAAGCCTTGTTTCAACTGTTAACAACACATCGGTAACCTTGAGTTGGAAACAACCTTCAGACGATGGCGGAAGAAATGATGTGTCCTTCAGGTAACTTGGAGTGTTTGCAAAATTTGTTTTTATTTTTATGCGATGTATTTATAAGTCGCTCCAATTCCACGGCTTTCTTTCGGTTACCAGTCCGTGTTCACTATGAAAATATTTAACGCGCTTTTTATTTCAAGTAAGGACCGTCAAAAGTTTGAACTGATATCCTACAATATGCATGAAGCTATCATTTATTAAAAGTCCCGGTGATGCAGCGGGCGTGATATTTGAAGCCAAGAATTTGCCAATATGATTAACTCTAACGCTTTAACCATTAGGCCATTACCTTTGTACAAAGCCTAACTATGAATAAAATGTATTTCGATTCATACAAAATTCTCCTTTTCAGGTTGAGCTGCCTGCAATGCAGCACTGGATTTGAAAACTGTAAGCCATGTCCCCGTTCAGTTGAATTTCAACCAAGTCAGTCAAAGCTAACGAGTACTGCAGCAACGGTTAGAAGACTCAGCGCTTATTCCTACTATGTCCTGAGGGTGAGTCGATTAAGAAGTTTTCAAATAGTTTAAGAATGAGAGAAACGGATGGTGTCTTAGTTTTAAAATCTTTAATCTTACAGGCTCACAAAGTATGTTTCCAAGGCTGGGGAAACGCAAGGACCAAGGGCCCGTTGCCCACTATTAAAGTTAGGTTTGCCAGTCGATGTAAACTATTAAAAAGACACCATTAGTACAATAATGTTTTCTGCGTGGGAAGCAAAATTGTGTTAAAAATAGGAACATCTTAGCATAAATCTAGAAATTCGAAGATTTTTACCCGCGTTACGGGTATTCAAATGTATATATTCCATTCAAGCATGAAAAATTTTCGTTCGTTTTTCAATTTGCAATGGAATATAAGACATTGATCCGCAACTACATTGCGCAGTCTTAATAGTTTATATGTGTTTATAATATATTTTACAATAATTATAAAAAAAAAAAACATTAGTGGTTTTATTATCTAGGTTCATTTTCTCGAAATTTATCTTTCCTAAATTTTTTCCAGGTTTACGCTGTGAACGGCGTCACAGACAAAGCGTTGGCTTCAGGCGAAGACGACGATAGATTCCTTGAAGCAAGAGTTGAAACAAGCCAAGCAGGTACGGTATTACAGCAAGCTTACCCCCCGGGCCGTTCAATATATTAATATAGTGAATAAGTAGTGTTTCATTGTTTACATTTTATGTCTATCCAGAAAGGTTTAACCTGGGGTATTTAAACAAAATTGACAAAAGCATATTCGAACAGCGGGCAGTCTAAATAGTCAGCATAAGCAGCCTGATTTAAACAAATGTTTGGACGCATGCAGTAGGCTACGTCAGTTCCATTAATCACTGTGCCACTTGGTGCACTAGCCGTTTGTTGTACATTAGGTGTTACTACGCTAGTTATTTGTAAATAAACCGTTTTTTATCCATAGTTTTATATTAAGTCCGTTCCGGCCCAGTCTATTATCTGTAAGAGGCCCCACTCAGAAAAGTAATTTAGCACCCCTGTACTACAGATATTTAGGCTGTGCTGTTAAAATGGTAAATCCACCATTCCATAACATCCATTGCACGTTTCTATAAGTGAATCCCTCCTATTTCTTACAGCACCGTCTCCAGTAGTCGGCGTACGCACTGACACAAACGGCATCACTCCAAGTTCTATTCTGGTGATATGGGATCAACCGCAGATGACGAACGGAGAAATCATCGATTATGAGGTCACAGTGCAAAAATTTAGACAGTCGTCAGATTCGGAAAGTTTCGGATACGTCGACCCTGATAGCGTGGAGCCTACGCGTATTAATTCAACTACAAATCAACACATGAAAATCGCAAATTTGACGCCCGGAACTGCGTATATTATAATGGTGAATATAAGACTTTATTATTTTAGTTTAAAATTTTATTTAAAGAAACTTTGGAAATTTTGTTGCTCGCGCTTTCGGGTATCCATAAAGTTTTTTTACAATTTCAGTTTTGTTTTGAAGTCAGTTCTCAATATATCTTATTCAGGTTTGCTTTTTTAGTCTGTAATTGCTCAAGTATTTTTACTTCATTTAATACATCTGTGAGGGCCAAAACAATATTTGGTATCGATAAATAACCTTTGCAATTTAATACGTCCTTGAGCTATAGATAGTTGGCGATTAGGTCATATTTTCATTCCTATTTTAACTGTCTGTATGGCAGCCCACGGCGAAGACTATTCATTTGATGATTGGAATCATACACCCATCTCTAATTCTATCCTCCATTGGTGATTTACGTTGGATGCCGTTCAAACGTCGTTTCGTAGCGTATACCAATTTTTATTTCAGTGTCAATAACCCAAAAGACCCCAATTCCTCAACAAGAGAGCACATTTTAATCGCGATTGGAGCAACATATCTCTTCCTATTACTAAGTTTAGCTTTTAGCATTGTGCGGAGTAGCACTTAACGTAGCTCCTAACAGCGCGTATATTTTTAACTTGAAAGCACTTTTGGATTGATACAACGCGAAAAGAAACAGCGGAACTTGCTTTACTATTTAAATCCTGTCCTTCAAAATTGCCAAAATCTCAAAATCTAATCATTTTTTAATTCTAAACTCGTTATGAGAACACTTTTTTACACGATATTCTAATTCAGGTACGTGCACGGACAACCGCAGGTTACGGGAAATTCAGTGTTCCCATAAAAGCTGAAACATCAGGGGAACACCCAACTCAGCCAGGAGACGGTTCTCTCGTGGATGGAGATCGAACTCTTCAACTTGTTGTCGCAGTAGGATGTGGGATACTCATAGTTATTCTAGTGATCGTAATTATCCTGTTTTGTACAAGGTAAAGTCATCTTTATAATTGAGTGATCCAAAATGTACCTAAATGGTGTAACACTCTGTAAATAAATTCCTACGCGGATAAAAAAAAAAGAAGTCTGACCCTCAAAAAGAGAAGCCCTAAATTTCCTATTCAATGTTTTCAACACTTGAACTTCGTTTTCTAAAAATAATGTATAATTGTTCCTGTTACTCCCAGGAGAAAACGGTTTGGCAAAGGAAAGAAACTCGACATGGAAAAACAGCCAATGTTTTCCAAAGAGATTCCAGGGCACAAAACTTACGTTGACCCAACGACTTACGAAGATCCGCACAGAGCTGTGAGAGATTTTACGAAAGAGATCGAGGGTTCGACGATCAAGATTGAACAAGTTATTGGAGGAGGTAAGCACGGAATTCAGAGCAGTTGTTTTTACAAATTTTCATAATCAGTAATCAGTATGTTGTTTTTTCACCACCATGTAACTACACTTTGTACAAACAAAATAAAAAACAAACGTGAAAATTGTATTACAGGGCGAAGGAGGGCGCAAAAAACCAATCCTGGTTATCAAGCAGCGACACCCGTATTCCGTAACCCCCAGTGACTTTTCTACCCTCCCTCCCCCCAAAAAAATATTAAACACTCTTCCGAACTTTGAGGTGTGGCATCACATTTTAATTCTAATTAATAATAATACATAACACATTTTATGAGTTATAAATGGTTTTCTCGCTAATTGTAAATTTATACCATCCCACTAAATATGAGAACATCCCCCCCCCCTCCTAAAAAAAGTATGTGAGCATACTTCGTGATCTCCTTCTAAAGCCTCCATATATTGTATACACTATACATTTTCCTAACATTTCATTTTTTCCTCAGGCGAATTCGGAGACGTATGCCGAGGTCGTCTGCGCCAAGCAGGGAACCCCGAACAAGACGTTGCGATAAAGACCCTCAAAACGGGGTACACAACACAGCAAAAACTAGATTTTCTCGGAGAAGCTTCGATTATGGGACAATTTGACCATCCTAACGTAATTAGACTGGAAGGAGTCGTGACAAGGACACGACCACTGATGATTGTCACTGAATTCATGGAAAATGGGTCTTTGGATACATTTCTTAGAGTGAGTACTTACATACTAACAGTTTCAGTACTATGCAATTTAAGAGCTCTGTTGCACACTAACACAAATGTAACGTTTTGTCTAATCAAAATCAAACTCGATCAAATCAAACTTTACAATTGTAAACTACTTGTCTCAGAATTTGAGGTTTGGAGCCTCCTTTTTAAAATGGAAAAGGCATTTTTCTGTATCTTACATAGGAATATTTTCGTAAGTTAAAACGCTTTTTAGCCCCTCAAAACTCTCGAAAATTCATGTTTTTCGGCTCCCGGCATGCCCGCTAGCTGTTACGGTCTTACTTGGCAATTAGAAATTTCAGAATCCTCCAACCCTCCTCGGAAATTTCTGACTACGCCTCTAAGTGGTATCGATCCGGAAAGACACTGAATGCTTTGTGGGTATAAGTATTTAATTGTATAGAGCCACATCTTTAAGTTTTTCCATTGCGACTTTAACTTTAATAATAAACAAATTTGCTTCAGAATCACGACGGAGAACTCACAGTTCTACAGATGGTCGGTATGTTGCGCCATATTGCCGAAGGAATGAGATACTTGTGTGAGATGGGATACGTTCACCGTGATCTTGCTGCGAGGAACATACTTGTTGATGACAGACTTGTCTGTAAAGTGTCTGACTTTGGATTGAGCAGAGTCTTAGAAGATGATGCTGATGCTTCTTATATTACTAGGGTGAGCGGATGTTTTTTGGTTGTATTAAGATGGATCGACGAAAAAAAATTATCTGATGAAACATTGCTGTTGATGAACTATAACCTTTGACCGGTGACCCGGTGACAGTTCCGGGTTCATCCAATTACCAATCATATTTAAAGTCCTGCAATATGTGATGATAAGTATATCCTAATCCAATAGTTTCCAACCGGTGGCTCGGGGGTCCACCAAGGGGCCACAGATCAGTTGAAGGGCCACAATGCCAGGCGCATTTCACTTTTGTTTTTACTAGAAAATTAGCCCATTTTCCCAGTTTCATTGCTTGATAAGGTGACTTCACAGGATTTGGAATCTACCAATCAAAATAACACTATAAATACCACTAGAATAAGAAATATGGGATATAAAATGTTGGAAATCACTGCCCTTATTCATTCTGAATGTGAAACTGGTTTCGATATTAACTATGATTCATTTCACAGGGCGGAAAGATCCCAATCCGATGGACGGCACCAGAGGCCATTACTTTCCGTAAGTTTACTTCTGCAAGCGATGTTTGGAGCTTTGGTATCGTTATGTGGGAAGTTATGTCTTACGGAGAACGCCCATACTGGGGAATGTCAAACCAAGACGTAAGTATTTGTATTCATCACAAAACCCCTGTTTAGGATATATCATGGTTTTGTACCCTCCTTTCCGAGACAACTATATTTAAGTTCAGATGGATTATTATTAAAAGTGGGAGAACGTTTATATTAGGAAATTAGGAATGTAAAATCAAGATAAAGCATAAATATTAAAACCCCTATCCTAGGGATTTAATAAGTCATCCCCCGGCGATATTTCCCCACTGCCGTTTAATCGACTCAATTATTTTGTTTGTAGTGCACGCAAAAAATAATAAACCCCCATTATATTGATTTTATATATTTTCCCTCAGAAATTAGTTAAATCCGCTTCGTACAAGTTGTAATAAATTAGGAACGACATTCCATTTCGGCCATTCCAAAAATAGTAGATTTTGTTAATTAGCGAGTTCTTTGGTAGTTCCAGAGCCTTTGTATAAAATAAACCGTGTATTCACAGGTTATCCAAGCAGTCGGGTCCGGTTACCGCCTCCCAGCTCCGATGGACTGCCCTCACGCTCAACATCAGTTAATGTTAGATTGTTGGAAAAAAGATCGAAACCAGAGACCGAAATTTGTTCAAATCGTCTCATCTTTGGATAGAATGATAAAGGAACCTGCGTTGTTGAAGGTTACAAATGATTCCACGTAAGTATTCCGTCATAGAGCATCGGTTCCCAAACGTTTTGTTCATGCGGCGCCAAATTGTCAGGGAATATCAACGAAAAAAATGCTGCTTTAAAAAAAAAACTCAATTTTGTTATCGTTTTTGTGTACTTTATGCACTTTAAAGTGTGTAAACATGTAGGCCTGAGAAATAAAGTCAATGTCAACTCTTCTTCCCTTCTTCATTTTAAATATACTGCAGCTCGCGAAATTGCAGCAAGTAGTGTCTATCTGTATCGAGGGTGTCAAACTCAATCTACTCAGGGGCCACTGCAGGCAAAGTTTGGGTGGGTCTGGACGGCATCAGGTTTTCCGCAATAAAAATATTTTTTTTAAACACAAAACAAGTTGAAAACATTTATGAACAAATTGAGACTAAATAAAAAAAATAACTGAAGATATTAATAATTAGTGATTGTCACGTTAAAAATACAATATCTTATAGCTTATATTGAATGTATTAATCATTAATCATGCAAACTGAGCTAAGTGATACACTAACAATAAACATTCATACTGAAGGGGGTGCCATAAACTATCGTCCTGCGGGCGCAATTGGCCCCCGTGCCGCAAGTTTGAGACCCCTGTTATAAAGGGCAATTAAAAAATGTATTCTCTGCGTGAACCCTATGTTTTATTTTTGTTATTGTTTTGTATTCGCAGTGCTGCACGCAAGCCAAAGACTCCACAAATCCAACATGGGCGGGGCAGTGATACATTAACCACGCCCACCACTGAATCAACCAATACGACATCTTCAAACAGAACCACGCCCAATGACGATTTGACTGGCCAAGAGGAGACTCCTTTAGTTCGCAAATCGAACGACAACTCTCCTAATGGAACGGGTCCCGTACTTTACAAACGAGGCGAAGATGTACTTATATCACCTACAAGTGGGCATTCAACTCCTACTAAAACCATGCCCACTACTAGCCCCGCCTCTCTCGGTGGTTGGTTAGATGAATTAAGTCTCGGCCAATACAAAGATACCTTCATGAAAAATGGATGCGCTTCATTGGAGCAGGTTCTTCAACTAAATGCAAGGTAAAAATCTTACTCATATGCAAATACGTATAGATGAGTATTGGAGTCCCTTGAATAAGTTGAAGATCATTTGAAGATCAATCGCCACGGTGGGAGTGGTCAAACGCATATGATTTTAAGCAAACTTAACGACATGCTAAAATTATCTTAGACTGATATTGTTATTTAACGGTGCTTATAACTGGCGTAGGACAGGACTATGTTGAGTGTTCAGATGCTTCTACCCAATATGAGGACGTATACTATATGTTCATGAAGGGTTTTGCGTTTTAAAAAAGGAAATGTGGTACATCGCCAAAAGACGATTTACTGCAACAGTGACATCAGACTGTCCATTTAATTTGCTAATTTTTATTAATTCTGAGAGATAAAAATTTAAAGTACTCATTTATTTTTGTGTGTAGCGTTATTATTTTTCAGTCGATCACAAGATGTTTCGATCGTAAAGTATTTGAAATCGGGGTCAAGTCAAAAAAAATTTATATTTCAGCCCTTATATAAATATGTGTATTTAATCAATCAGTTTTTTCTATTTTTCAGTGACCTTAAAAGGATGGGAATCCAAACCCCTGCACACCAAGAACGGATACTTGGAAGTATTATATCATTGAGAGAAAACTCAAATTATAACGTTTACGGTCACAGAAATAAAAACTATTATCAACATCGGGCCAAAAATTATGAAGCAGATGCTCCACCTAAATATGAAGAAAGCTGCCGAAACGGTAGAATACCTAACGGTATACCGGTTTAATGGAAGACCTGCAGAAACGGTACAATAAGCAACGGTATACCCGATAATGGGATAATTGCAAAATTCGGCAAAATAGCTAATAGTATATCAATGTCAGGATTCGGCTGCAAGAACAGCTCAACACTTGGCGGTTTACCGGTTCAACGAAACAGCTGCAGAAACGGTACAATGACTAATTGCATAACTGATTGAAAATAGCTTCAGGAGTGATTCAATACCTAATAGTACATCGATTTGATGGAACAGCTGCAAAAACGGTGAAAAAAAATAACAGTATACCGCTTTGATGAAATAGCTGCAGAAACGGTAGATATTCAACAGAATATCGGTTTAACAAAAAACCTTTAGAATGGATGTAATACGTAACGGTATAGCACCATAATGAAATAGTTGCAGGACCGGTTCAATAATTAACGGTATGCTGTTGTAAGAAATAGTTGCAAGAAACATTGCTATACTGAACGGTAATTCGGTAAAATTGAATAGCATAAGAAATGTAAAAACTCGTTTGCTATGAAATAGCCTTAGTTAGCTATAAAATTATAAAAAAGCGCTTTTTTTGTTTTACATTTAAATTTTCATTCCTAATTTTCAATTTGTAGTATTATTATTTTTTGCTAATTTTTTTTATTATATAATTACCAATCGCATTTTTGCCTTTTTTGTTAACAATTATACTTGCTGTTGCGTTTTCAGTCTTAAAAATTTCCCGTTGTAAAATAAATAAATAAATAATCATTATGTCAAAATACCAAAAATGACTCCCCCCCCCCACCCCCCTAAAAAAAGAAGAAGAAAAAATTAGTATTGTACTTTGCACGTTAATTATCTAGTTTTGGATACAGCAATTCCAGAACCCATATTCCTGTATTTTCATTTTTTGAATTCACTATAAATTCTACATGGTTAGACTATATTTGAATGGCTTGCAATTTCATATGAATGAAGCTAAGCGTTGACTTTATAATCATTTCTATATTTATCTTTGTTAAGCTACGTTTTGCACTAATTTTGTAATTTTTTTCGTTCTTTTTCAAAAGCTCTAAGAGCTTATCTGTATATATATATATAAAGAGGACGAAATGGTCTAATGAGGGGGAACTCAATTTTTGGTGTTATAGAGCCTGTGGGTAGATTGAACAGAGCTCCACAATAAATTTATATAAACAAAAACACATTCTTACTTACCGATTATGTTCCTGGGTAAATTACTATTACTTTATTTAATGACTCGGATGTCCTTTCTGCTTTGTCCCTAAAAAATACACTTGGCATATTAATAAAGTAGTAACGAAATGTGACATTATGAACAAATTTTTGGCCCCCAGTCTAAAATCCTCTGACCGCTAACTAAGCCACCATGTCTCTACTTGAATATTCGAAGCAAGCTATTCGTTTGCTTGAAAATGCTTCTTTTGATATATGTTCCATTTGATGCTTTATATTTTAATTTTCCGCTTTAACTTTTTTCGTTAAGTTTGCCAGCATCTCTAAATTCAGTACTTTTCAGTTTAGTTTATTTAATTAGATTAATACCAGACATTTCTGGACAAAAATCAGAATCAAACTCTTAGTAAATACATTTAACGATATGTTACAAACTTTAGGAATAAACTTTGATAGCTTGCATACGTTCGTATGTTTATTATTGTTGTTGCTTAGCAACGGCTATGCTTGATTATATTTGTGATTATAAATTTGGCAGCAACGGTTAGGTTTGATTGATTTTTTTTAATATTTTTAATCATAGTATTGGCAGCAACAATTTGCTCATAGCATATGCTTTTGTATGTGAAATAGTTTAAATAATTCTGCATTTCTTCGCGTATTTTCTGTATAATTTTTCGCTATTTGTTTTATTTATTGTAATTGTCTTTGTTTTATATTTAAATATAATTAGCTTGAAGCCAAAATATAAATTGTCATCTTTCGTAGAGAACTATTAGGGGTCCATTCAATTATAGACAGTTAGCAGTATAAGAAATAGATATATAGTCTGAATCGCCATTTGAATGCCTTTCTCTGTTTTCACGTAAACAGCTGGTTTAAAAAATAGATGGATATATGGATTCCAATTGCTTTTTAAATGTTCTTTTCCTTAGATGGCTATTGGGCTGCTATGAAGACTGCAGGTTAGGAATAAGGATAACTATTTTGCTCCAGAACCAATTTGAATGGCCTTCCCATCAGTAGAAGGCTATGAGGTTGTCATATAAACAGCAGGCTAGAGAAGAGGGATTAATATATGGTCCCCATCGCCGTTTGAATGTTCTCTTCCTTAGATTTCCATTGGGCTGATATGAAGACAACAGGTTAGGAATAAGTAGACGAATAAAATTAATTACCTCCATATTGGTACACACATATCGGGAATATCCAATCAAGCATGTTTAACGCAAAGCATTCGCAGAAGAGGAAATGCCTACTTGTGTACAAGTACCACCTGCATTAAGAATGCTTTGAACATAGGAAGACGGCTTTTCTTTTGAATTGCGGTATTTCCTAATTGTGACAAAGCGTATCAGCTTACCGTGGTAATCGCGAGTTGTTCCAAGCTCATTGGGTACGAAACGTACATATAGTGTCGACGAAGTCTTCAAATTTTTTCAAATTGTTAAGAGAATTTATTGATACCATATATTGTTTTAGCTCTCACAGATGTATTTAATGGAGTTATATTACTTGAACGATTACTGTATAAAAAGCAACAAACCTAGTTGAGAAATATCGAGAACTGACTTCATAAAAAATTGAAATCATAAAGGGACTTTATGGACACCCTGTATATCGTATGGTTATTATATTGTTGTTCTTGTCGTTATGAAAAAATTTCTCTTCCTTATCAACTTTTCTTATCAACTACCTTTTCTTATCAACTACTGGACCAATTGCTTTTGAGAATTTCAGTGGTTAGAGATGTATTTTCGCTAGAAGGCTATTACTTTTATTCATTCCCTAACTTTCTATGAATGTTTCCAGATCTGATATTTCATCCAAAACTTCGCTATATTTTTTTTCATTGGAACACGGTTTTTAATCCACCAAGCGTGACGGTCGTTTCCGATTTGATGCGATCCTACGCAAAATTTTGTTTGGACTAATGGTTCATATATTTGAGAATCGCTCCCTTGTTCATAGTCATAGTAAAACAGGCACAACTGGAGTCTCGTTTGGCTCCTTTACTTGGTATTGATGTCGAATCTGGACTCCGGCAAAAAATTTCGTCTCAGCTCAAGCGACGGAAATTTATCTTCATAAAGTAACTTATATCAAAATACTGATCCCATAATTCATCACATCTATAAATAATACTAAAAACCACTTAACCGTATCCTCCCCACAAAAACTACTCAAGCATGACATACTTTGTTGAAACTCATTTATTGCCACAGTAGAAAGCATTATCACAGTGAATTTTGATGGGAATAGGGAGGAGAGGGGGTGAGAATAGGAAAAATTTAAACAATATTAAACATAACAAATAAACTAGGTGAGATTTGACCTAACTGGGTTGGAATCGTAAATTAACAAAACTTGGGCCCGAATCCCGATTAATCTAGGTAATGTTCACCACTTCAAACAAGATGATTATTTTTCATCTCTATGGAAAGTTGGGGCAAGCGATAAAATGCCAAGGGCTATCTTGGAACTATAGAAAAGGGTGGTGCATTACGCTTACTCAAAAGTGAACGAGAGTCATTTCGAGCAAAATTAGGGCACCCAACAAAATTGCCTATAGCTTATGGAAATAGACTAATCTCTAAGTAGAGTAGGGAGAGACCAATGACATGAGCTATACTGACAATATTACATAATTATAGCCGTCAATCAAGCACCCAGAGATTTTTGCTCAAAGCAAGGTCACGTAAATAAAGAATAAATAAAGGTGATTTCCGAGCAAAGTTACAGGCGACTACCACAAACCCAAGAGCTACTGTTCCGATATGCCCGAGCAGTTCAGGTCAATGGGATTAGGGAAGTTATTCAATTTATATTGGTTATTGGAACAATCAGGAAAATTTCGAACCGACAGTGATGTTAAATTTTTGAATTCAAGACTGGAGATTAGGTAAGACCAACAGCAGTGGCGTATCTGCGTAAAAACCGCCCATAGCAAAATTTGAAAATGCGCACCCATGATTGTTGACTGACAATTTTTAACGACTGCTGTTGAATTGAGATACTTACACGTTATTTTTTAAGAAAAACTACAAGTTTCAATTATTTCAAATTATTTCATTGAAACTTTTTACGATTGGATTTGTTTACCCATTTTGCGCCACAAACGGCTCCCGTAACACGAGCCATGGCCGCCATACCCTAGATACGCCACTGGTCAGCAGTAAAACACTGCTCAGTACTGTACCTAATATTAGGGATTTACAGCATTTTTATATGTAATATGCACCTTTGGATGATTATTCGTAACGGGATTCAAAGTACACAATTAATTAAATAAAATAAATGGAAATATTTAACATAATAGCAATCAGAATTGATGTGTAATTACCCATTTTTTAGTTTGAAATTAAAAAATGGAAATATTTAACATAATTGCAATCAGAATTGATGTGTAATTACCCCTTTTTTAGTTTGTTCAAACTAGGGTCTTGAGTCTCAGAGAAAACTCGGAATTGTACTGATAGAAGAGGTTGCATCTAATCCAGTTGCCACCCAAACTGGAGGTAATTCCCCCAAAGAGATAATTTGATAATTTTAGGGGGTATTTTCAGACGTTCACTGTCTTTGACATCCATGACTACAATTTCATTGTACTCATCATAATGATTTTCAGTCACAAAAATCGACTTTGCAACAACAGACGTTAGAAATATTTGAGTTGGTCTTACTATCAAATGTGACGATATGCGCGATGTCATTTTTATATTTTGAAATGGATTATTGATCTTTTGGGGTGATCAATCATTGATACGATAAGGGCTATGTTATATTTTTTCATTCAAAGCTTGAAAAATCGAACATACGTGATGAATCAAAAATATAAGAATTTAAAATGAAAGTACAAACAATTGTTGATATAATAAGAAATGCTGAGAAATAAATTACAAAAAAAAATTAAAAAAATCGTGAAGGAATGAAACAATTTAAAGTAATTTGGTCCCTCGTTACGAGTGTTTATTTATTTATATAACCTTCTGGATAATTGTTTGTTTGGACTCTTTGACTTTTGATTATGACCTATTACACTCAAGTACTCGCATTTTTTCATGACCGGATTACATATATCCGGATAAATTATTATTGTTATAGTCTCCGGCCACAACATGCACATAACGTCGGAGTCAGTACAGACTTTCCAAAAATTGTGTTCAACCGGATGTTATTCAGCATGGTTTAAGACTCCAAACACAACATGTGTAGCATTACATCACGCCCTGGTGAAGTTTTTTTTTTTGAACAAAACGTCTCTATTAGGATTGTTTTGCAAACACCGTGTGTACACTATATCCTTCACCGTTTACAAACACTCCAGTGAGACTGCAAGTTCTTTGTGTGCTTAAAAGTGCAACCATCAGAAATAACTGCTGAAAGCGCCGCTGTGTTAACATTAGGTAGACGCCAAGTTTGCGGAAGTTCTCAGACTGTGATCCCTCTTGCACTAATGGCTTCAAGTCTTTCTCTCAAATAATCTGATCCATTAAGAAGAATGTTCTGTGTTGAGACATCAGTGATTCCCATCTCGTAAAGTTGCCTGAAAAATAGTGATATTTTAATAACATTATTCCCTTTTAGGGAGGAGGGGAGGTGAGGAGCAGATCATATGTTTCTAGTAACCTTTATTGTTTAGTTTATATTTGGTATTGAAGTATTGCTCAAAAGTTAATGTATAATTGGGAAGGTAGAATTTTGTGGGTGCTCGGTGTTTAATTAACAATAGGAGTACATATCTAACTGATATTAGCTTGGAATGTTGAAGATTTCAGATACGAATTCATTTTCTATCACCCATTGAGTGTCACTGTTTCGCACACTATTCAAAATTGACACTTCCACGCGGACCGCACAATTTTTTGGTTGAGAATCGCATTTGTCCCGCGGGTTGCAGTTTCCACGCCCCTGAGAAGTCAATGATCAAACATATACAATTAGTTGAAACAAAGAATTCAACTTACCCATCTGAAAGTCTTATAATTTGCTCAGCAGTTACACATCCATTTCTAAGCATGATGTCTTTATATTGCGTCATATTCATGTCCTCCAACCATTGGCCAAGAGATGACAAATCGAGGGATTCAGGGATACATTCGGCTTGCTCGTGAAAAGGACTGGAAAAAGAAAAGAAGGTAAAATACGTTGAAGGTATTCTGAGATTTTTCCCATTCTCTACAAAAGGTGACGTTCACGGGAAGATAAAGGAATCTTTCATTTCTTTTACGTCGGTAATTCACTCCTTCCTTTACACCTTTATTTCTGAGTCACTGCACATGACTTTGCTCAGAGATGATTATCCTTCATTCTCCTCTATTTTCGAGTGAGTGCTCGTCAACTTTGCTCTGAGACTACTTTACTTCTGAGTGAGTGCACTTACCATTTCCTAGAGCAAATTTACCAAATTCAAAAACTCTACTAACGCAACTGAGTACACTTACATGTTATTAATAGTATCATTCAATTTCTCTGGAGCGAGTAGCATGCTGTCAAGTTGCGCTACAATCTGTGTGAAGGTGGGTCTCCTTGTTCGATCCATATTCCAACAGTTTAACATGAGATTATGGAGAATCCGGGGACAGAAAGGTGGTGGAGGGAGTCGATATCCATTTTCCACGCAGTGCACAACCTGAATTAATATAAATACTAAATTAGAGAATAAATGCAAATCTCGCTAAAAACCTCGCCAAATTTGGCAGGCTATATAAAGCTGACAAAGTCCCAAGTATTGCTCAAGTAAACAGCGTTGCTGCAAATAGGGAAACACTCGGCCAAGTCAATATTTCAACAAATTAACGAATAACTCGCGGAGCTCCTATGTTTCTGTCGTGGGCCCCTGCGGCTGACTCAATTTGATATGAAATTATATATAACATTATTTCACTTACGTCTTTGTTAGGCATTTCCCAATAAGGCCTTTCTCCATGTGTGAGAACCTCCCACATGACGACACCAAAGCTCCATACGTCACTTGATGACGTAAATGTACGCTGGGTGATTGCTTCAGGAGCTGTCCATCGTACTGGTATCATTCCTCCCTAGTAATAAAAAAGAATGCTCAATGAGTTTTCAAACTGGGCAGCCCTCGAGGGGGAAGAGCGAGCGCACAAAGTGATTTACTAGGGGCCACGATCCTCCACTTGGCAGGCACTATTCGCGATGATTACATTAGTTTAAAGTAAGTTGTTTTATTCTTATGTTACATTCATTCTTTTGCTTTTTTATCAATGAATGTAATGAATAAACTTTTTATTAAACAAATTAAAAAATGAAGAACCAAAAACTATTGGTGTGAAAGAAAGACCCTGGCGATTGGGATTACGCGAGACTAACTACTTATACATTTTATGTGCTTCTGTTCTGGTGGTCTAGTCTCAGTATAATGCAAGGATGCTGTAGCATGCCAAAATGATTCAAGTGTCTTGCTATGTGGACGGACTATAAGTAGTCACATAAAAATTAGGCACATTTTTGAGCAATTCAGAAAAGAAATGGGTGTATAAACTAACACATAATATATATCTGTAACGTTTCGTCAAAAAGTGCGATGATTTTCATATTCCTATAGCGTACCTTGGTTGTATAAATAGCGGTTCCGCCATCTTGAATACTCGCTAATTCTCTGCTGAGACCGAAGTCAGATACTTTACATATCAACTGATCATTGACCAATATATTCCTTGCGGCAAGATCACGGTGAACGTATCCCATGTCGGATAGATATTTCATCCCATCGGCAATGTCTCGTAAAATGTTCACAAGCTGGAAGATTCCGAGTTCGCTGTTTTGTGAATGGCGATCCTATAATTAAAACAAGTTTTTCTTTAGTGGGTTCAGTGGCCTAGTAGCTACACCAACTGGTTTGGCGTAGAATAGAGAATTCAGACATCATTCGCCATATATTAGTGGAACAAAAAATGTCGTAAAGCAATAGGCGCCCGAAACCCCGCGAAAAAGGTACTCTTGTGATATGCGAACCAAGATTGCGGACACCGGAACGTAGTATTTGTTAGGGTTAGGGATTAGGGTTAGACCATAATTTTATTCTACATTCCGGTGTCCGTCATCTTGGTTCACATACTTCGGTAATACCAAAAAATCTACCCATAAAAAGGCCTCGGTAGAGATCTAGTAACGATCCCGAAACTTTCAATAAATATACTATCTCCACCTATTTTGCCTAACTTGTTCAGAGCGAGAGCCTATATTAAAAGCTAACAAAATTTACCTCTAAAAACAAATCCAGTGAGCCATTTTCCATAAATTCTGTCACAATCATGAGAGGCGTGGTTTTTGTGACCACGCCCTCTAATCTGATGACGCTGGGATGATCGAACTGCCCCATAATTGACGCCTCTATGAGGAAATCCTGCTTCTGTTTTTCTGTGTAACCAGCTTTCAATGTCTTGATTGCAACTACTAAGTTCGTTGATCGAAAAGGACTTGCCAGATTCTGTAGTGTGTCGTCGTTGCATATTGGTGTCATGGGACGGAGGAGGCCTTTGTAAACATCCCCGAACTCGCCTAGAATATAAGAAATAGTGAAACGTCTGATTCGAGTATTATTTCCATTGAAATCTCCGTAAATACCTTCGTAATCACAGACATGTTGAAAACATCGCGTATTCTTATTCATACCAATGGCCGAGCGGTTTAAATATTGGATTTACTATGTCGGCATAACAGGTTGCCAGGGTTGTGACAAGGGGTTTTAAAATAACAGATTGCCAAGTTAGACCGTAATAGCAAGCGGGTCCGGAAAACGAGATTTTCAAGATTTTTGAAGGTCGAAAAAACGGATCGAAACCCCAATTTGAAATTAAATTAAAAAGGCCAGACACGCTATCTGTTACGGTCAAACTTAGAAATGTCAAAAATGTAGTGTTTCTCAGGCAATTTCAAGTAAAGTGCCAAAGTCATAACCCTGTTTGCTCTATACCAAGTACCTTAGTACTATCTTGACTTGCTCAATGCCTTTTTAGCCGCGATTGGAGTAAAATTGAAACAGAACTCTTTACCTGATCCTAATAGATCTTCCTTCTTGATATTATAAGAATCGATTTCCTTCGCAAACTCGTGAACCGCTTGATCGGGATCTCCGTATGTACTTGGGTCTATGTAGGTTTTCACGGGTTCTCTGTGCGCTTGGATCAGATCAACTGAAACATGAATATATTGTGATTTACAGCAGTTTGTCATTACTATAGACAGTTGGCCCAACACTTGTGTAATAAAAATCAGGCGATGGGAATGAAATTTCATTTTTAGGATGTAAACAAAGCTGGTTGGGATATATTGAGAGCCACGTGGGCATTACCTAAATCTTTGAAAAGCAAAAGTAAAATGGCATAATGATAGGCACAGACAGTGATAAGTTGATAGATAGTAATATTCTAAATATTTACAAGTATAATGACGTCATAGATAGAAACAACTGACAATTGACGTCATAACATTTAAAAAAAATGTGATATCATTTTTCGATCTGTTACGTCATCTGTTGATGGTAGTGTGACGTCACATTTTCAAAAAAATTCTGTTTTTTCTCCTTTCCTTTCAAATAAGTTAAGACACTCACCTGCGTTATCAAAGTAGGGATAGATTTCAATGGATTCGTGTTTCTGTTTTTTATTCTGATTCCGGATTCGACTGATAATTAGTAAAGCTGAGATAACAACGATCAACATGGCGCATGAAATTGCAATTCCGACTACAATTGGGAGATTGTCTGCAGAGTATTTTGCTGTGTGGGGGTAGGTGGTCGTTTCCATTTTGTTTTTGTCCTCATCGATGCTTGGTGTGATGGTTTTGTCTAGATTATGACTCGCTACCCCCAATGTACGAAATACAATGGGTGTGCTGAATAGTCCATAGCCGGCAGCGTTTTTGGCGCGAATCTGCGAAGAATAGATAATAAAGTAAAACAGGGCCCAGGTCATTTTGAACATATTCTAAAACGAACATAACTTTTTTGCAAAGCGTCTCAGATTACTGAGACTTTTAGGTACAATCATACACAAACAGAAATGTTCATTTGGTAAATACATTGCTTTATTTTTGTAGAAGTAAGAAATTTATGTTTTTTGTTTTGTTTTTTTACTTTATATATAAATTCAGAGTTTTGAAATTGGGCCCTCGCTCATCTAAGGTGCACCTAGCGATTATCTGGCCACTAGCAAAGACCTTTACTAAGTACCATTTTCTATGCCTATATTAATTTAAGGCAATTTACTGTGATTGTTATTTGTAGAACCTTGACACTTTAGGTGTTATTATAACATCACCACCCTATTACATATTATTATGACGTCATATTTGTTCTTCGCTTGTTTTTTTCAAATTTTCACTCCCCACTAAAAATATATTTCAATGTCCAAAGTATAAAATATCCTACCTGGACAATAAACGATGTTCCCTGTGGAAGATATTTTATTCTGAAAGTCTGACTTTTTGTTCTGTTTATTCTCTTTATCTGCGGAGCGTTCAGTCCATCGCTTTTGTATTGAATCTCATACTCAAGAATGATACCGTTGGGTTTCGTTGGAGAATCCCAGTTCAGGAGAACATTGGTTGGTTTGCGATCGATAACTCGAACATGACCTACTGCAGATGGAGCTAGAAATAAAAAAGGAATGGTATTTTATCACAGTTAAAAATAGATTTCAATTATATATATCAATTATATATTATTTTAAAAAAACTGACGTCATAGTACAAAAGTGAGGTCATAATACCATTTGCTGATGCGACTTTCAATGAGACAAGGGACTGACTAAAGAATATCAAAAAATGACAGCATTTTATAAATACATCACGACACAGTACAGAAAAGTTAACAGTAAAAATCCCGAAGTCATAGTTCAAAAAGTGACGTCATAGTACAAATAAACGGTATGATGTATGATGTCACAGTACAAAATGTCACGTCATAGTTCGAAACTGTTGTCATAAAAGATATTCAAAGGATACTTAATTAATACTATAGGGAGCGACCTTTATGATAGCAATTAGATTAACAAATTCATTCTTACCGGCTTCGCTTGTCTTTAGCAATATCTCAGAAAACGTCGGATCTTTACCGCTGATCTTTGTTACACCGTTGTAAGAAAAGATCTGTGGAAAATAAACATTTAAGAATGATAAAAATCGAAAGAAAACGGTATGAGAGAATACATAATAATTGGAAAGGAATTTTGCGAGTTTTTGTACGCTTTCGCGGAGAGTCTGATACCATTGCCCACCAGATGTCGCCACTGAGTCGCAAAACGCGTGGTGTTATTGTCACCCGGAGTGTGATGAATCGAATTGCATAACGATATTTTATAAAATAGTTACTCCATTAGATATCAGTTTAAATAGCACATATTTCTTAGACATGCTTTCAAAAAATTCCAAATTTTCCCTTTGAATTTTTAACCTTCGCATTTGACTTGAAACACTCAGAACTGTTAACTTAATCTGTAGAAAAATCCGACTCTAACATTTGAAGTCTAAGTATATGACCCGCCTTATGCTGCCACAACCAAACTGAAATCATATATTTTTGCTAAAATTATTTAAGGAATTTGTTGAGATTGCGGTGAAATTTAGTTTTTAGGCACGAGGCCTGATGTTTTCCACTGCTGTTTTTGTAACACTGCAAATATTGTTCATTGAATGTAACTTTCTACGTCACACTTACATGGCCCGCCAGTCTAGGGTAGGCAAGAGTTTGGCCCTTAGTGCATAAACCTTGCCCACCCCTGATCTAGACACTCAGATATTGGAATATTGTAAAAACGATTCTAACCCAAAGCCATCGGACAGGAGTCATTAACTTACCCTGAATCTGTAGTTAGTATGAGGCGATAGTTCTCTTATTTCTACATGTCTTTGGCTGTGGAATCTTCCTCTCGGCTCATAATCCACGTTGTCCCCGCAAGCAGAACACAGTGAATATGTTGAGTCGCATCGTAGACAAGAAATACTGTATTGAGAAGAAAATTGGTTAAATTGGTGGTGTTAATAACAAAACAATTGTCTTTAACAGGGCTGTAAGTGATGGACGTGATGGCGCTTAGCAGGTGAAGCTCTTTTCTCTGTTTCAAGACTCTGATTAGTACATGTCTCGGTTTCGCGTACATTCAGTTTCCGAAAGTCATATGTTTGCCCAATTAAGAGTTCGGCTTTGGGGGTCAACTACCAAACTTTGCAGTACAAAATGCTAATTTCAATGGCTCTAAAATAAAATTCTCGTTTCAGGTCATTTTAGTCTCCATATGTCAATCTTCCCCTCATTTAGGACTTAAAATACAGAATTCTCGACTTCAGGGGACAAAAATACCATTTAATGAAAATTGTTTGAAATCACGATCTTACCTATACGTAATATCGGTACGTCCTCCAGTAAATTTCGGCGATGACCAACGTATGGTTACAGACGTTTCGTTCACGGTATATTGAACCGATTCTGGTTTTGATGGAGGCTCTGTGGTAAAAAAGAAAAAATTAAAACTTAGGAACTGTCGTTAGGGCCGTAGCCAGGAACTTTCAAATTATGGGGGTTGAAATTTTTAATTGCCAAATCCGACCGTAATGTACATTAGACCCATTTTCATTTAACAGACTGATTGCCGAACGAGTTGCAAAGAACGCCTTACTATATCAAAAGAACCTACTTGTGCATTGCATATTCTGTCATCTTTCCTGGCTCTATTATACCCAGCACAGAGTTGTTATGCGTGTGTGTGTGTGTGTGGAGAGGGTGTGTGTATGTGAACGATATAGGGTTAAAAGTTGCTAGAATAGACGAGGTATATATTCAAAAATGCAGTGACAAAAGTTCTGGCCAAAATCACTCACTTGTACACGGCATGTCTTGTCCATCTTTTCTGGCTCTATAATACCCTGCACTGCAGATACATTTCATCGAAGCAAACTTGATCGACAAACTATTATCAGGGCAGGTCTGACATTGATTGTTGCCAACTTCTGATTTGTATTGACCAGCTACGCATTCTAAAAATATAGATATAAAAAATTGAGGAAGAGCTTATTTAACATATATTATTTGTTAACTATGTTGTCACGCAACATGAGTGACGTCATAAAATTCAGGATGACGTCATATAAAAGAGTAAGATGTCAATTTCTTCACCAATATATTATGAAGTCATGAAACTGAAAATCTACACGTCGAGGCCATGCTTTGTTAAACATGTATGCTTGATTGCACAAAAATGTTTTTCCGTTGCTGTCATACAAAATAAAATGTTTCAATATAGATGTAATAAATTGGTTAGGCAACGCCGAACCAGAAAAAAGAGGCGTCAAATGAAAAAACACACAATGACGATGGCGTCAATCTTAACGACACACTAATCACGCACACTTGGTCTTGCCGATTGCAGCCTTACAACATAAATTACGTCAGAATTTAAACTCATATCGAACGTACAGTTTTATAAATAGTTGGTAATTGAAAATCAATAAAGAATTGACTGTGAGAGCGCGTTTGAATAGAAACAGTTTCAAGCATGCTTATAAATTTTTTACGTGTCTTAAAGTAGCAGGTGCCGAGTCTACACCGCAGTTCGAATTTAATAAGAAAACCAAACTTTACTTCGAGTATTGTGATTGCTATTCGAATGCACATTTGATTATATTCCAATACCTAGCCTAATAGCCATTTACGGAAGATGCAAGTTAAAAAGTCATTTTCTGTGTCATACATAGCAATTTTCCGTAGCATGGAACGTTTTCCTCAGAACCTCCCTCTTGAAAAATCCTGGTTACGCTGTGATGGTTGGGGCCATATATCAATCCCTATTCCCAACCTGCTGTCTGCTTGGGGACCAAGCACTCTAAGATGAGCGAAATTCATATAGCGATTGGGACCGCATACCTTTTCATATGTCTAATTCAAGGTGGTCCAAACCCAGGTCGCATTTGTGGGAGAGTAAACAAAAATACCTTTTGGTGTAGTTTCACCATAAAATTAACCAGAAAATGCCACAATGCTTGCTTGGTTATCCCTGCAAGTTGTGTTGGTGACAATCTAAAACGACATTTTCTCTCTGTGACACTTTCTCCGTTATGAAGAGTTTGAAATCTTACACTAAATGTAGATATAGTAAGATTTTTGCAGGTTTTAGTGAGTTTTCTAATGGATTTTGTATGTTTTGGCTTGATAAATGACAAATAATGATCAAGTGTTTGGACAATAAAAATGTTTGTTTTATATTGCACTGTTCACCTATTATTGGCACTATTGTGGCCCGCGAACAATACAAAAATAATAGTGTGGCCCGCGAAGCCGACAACCTTGGACCACCCTGGTCTAACTATTGGAACGTTCAAATTATTAGATACAATTACATAGCATTGTGAAAAAATAGGTCAAAGAGTAGCTTAATAATATGGAAGTAATGACGTCCTGTCCGATCGCCAGCACAGGTTGAGTTTGAGAGTAATACCAGAGTTATGCATTCATTTTTAAGAAAATTTTCTCAAAGCACGGCCACACGTATTCAATTAAAAATATAAAATATTGACCCTAAAACCTAGTTACGACCACTCAAATAACAAGAGCTACTAAGACTATGAAAAATTATTGCGTGGCTTAACTCTTTCGTTCTTCCTAGTTTCATTGCTTGATAAGGTTATTTTACAGAATATTTTAATTTTTTGAGCATGAATTGTTTGAAAAAAATGGGATTTGGAATCTACCAATCAAAATAACACTATAAACTCCACTGAAATGATAAACAGGGGGGTGCCATGCGTGCTGAAAGCCTCCGTAAGGGGGTAATAAAACGTCGGGGACCACTTCTATAAAGAATCGTGGCGTAGTACTTTTTCGACTTCATCTAATGTGGGTTTGTTGATCACGCCTTGTCAAGACCCTTCAAAATACCAGCGGCCGATTTATTACACAGAATTGAGTTTGCCCAGCTTTTGTAGTCTGGTTAAGTAGGGCATTCCGGAATGAATCGCCTGTTCCGTGGCTTCGAAGAACCCTCGTTCGCATCATTACAAAAATGATTAATTCTTTCGACATCGAGATTGGAATGTTTACACATGATCAAAAGTTTTTGTTTGTCTGAAACGAGTTTCGCTGGTTCGCATTTTGTATGATAATCTATTTATATTCGTTGTTTTAATTCAAAAGTTATTGCTGAATAAAATTTCCTAATTTATCACTTTGAGAGTAGAACCTGGTAATACGGATTAATTCTATGACTAACCGCGCCCTCTCGTCCGATCACCAATGCATAACTTGTCAGTGGTTACATGAACCACCATACGACGGCGAGGAGTCGAAGCAATTGTAAAAATCAGTTGGCTCAGCTCAAATTTTAATATCTATTTTGAGGTAAGAAAGTCGGTAAGACGGCACAATCAAAAACTCAAAATGGAAAAATAAATCCCAAAAACGTATTTTGGAGCCTACCAAACTCAGGGCATCCCAAACTGGCGTCAATGGACCCCTGTGGGTCCGTCATTACTGTACGGGAGGCCGCAACAATATGAAAAGAGTCTGAGGATACATACAAAGAGGATACATACAAATACATCATATTCTTATCGAATTGCCGTTAGCCTGCCAGTATTCAACGTTAGTATCGAGTCAGACTTTCATGAGTTTTATTTCGTCAAAAAATTTCACATCATATTTCTAGTTGATTAGGCACAGAAATTGATAGAAATTGAAAAAATAAGATTCACAGACAGCGGTCCGCGTCCCAAATGGTTTGGGAAACCCTGTACTAAAATATTCATGGTTTATAAAACTTCTGATTCGTCCACAACGCAATACGTAATCCAATGACTTGTTCTTAATGGCATTATATAATAAATTATCCTAAAGTAGGCACAACGAAACCGAATAACTTTATTTGACAGTTTAAGTAATTTATATTACAAAGAAAATTATAGTTTACATGAACCGCCACAGCTGCGTGAAGCTCCTTATCTGTTAATAATTCATCATGTCATACTGTCGTGTTTAGTCAAGGATTATACTGATAAGAGAACTGATAAGCGGATACCTGATTAAATATTTGATAAATAACTTGAGAATGTATAGGTATTTTGCTTCAAAAGAATTTCGACTGTGAAATACCGCAAAAAAAAATTAGCGTCGTATTATGTTCATTATACAAAAAAAACTTGTACAAATACGCGATGCAAAAGGGAGAATATTGAGATTCACTTTGGACAAACAATGAGTATTGTGACATCACCTTGCATTAAATTAGGTTAGAAATGAACAAATTACCTCACGGGAATTGATTCGGTTTCATTTAGTACATACAGGTACAAGTAAACAAATGACCTGATACAACGGGCCCTTTGATTCCAGAATTGAAAATTGTATTGTAGATGGTTTTTGCAAGTATTAGCATATACCACATTCGATCTAAGCTAACTGTTCAAAACTTTTTTATTTTCAACACATTCACCCTTTGCCTATTTTGAAATTATTCATTCCTCATAGCTACGTTTGAAAAATTCGTTACAGTTATTTTTCATTTTTGTAAGGGTCATTATTAAACTTTTGTATGTCCACCATTGGATTTAGGAAGAACATTAAAGTTTCACCTAGTTTAAAACAGGACTTTGTGGACACATTCCATTATACGCGGGAGAGCAACTTACAATACACCAAATTCAGTTAAATCGTGAAAAATGCAACAGCGCTAGAAATAAACGAGCTCTTCCAAAAGACTTTTTGTTTGAGAATCCAATTTAACCTCCATTAAACGGTCACGGTTGAACGAGCAATATTCTGGCCAAAGTCTGACAGGTCGTTTATGAACATTTTAATCTAATACAAAATACACGTATTTGTCCCATGTTACAATATTTGGTAACAAGTTAACAAGAACCCAACACATGTAACTTTGATCACAACTAAAAGACAGGAAACCAATTCTATAGGTCTAAATACTAAGGATCGTTGAACTACGTGACTTTATCCTGTAATTGCGGTCGCTTTTCGGAGTGAGGTACCCGTGAGCAATATTTTCCCCAGCTGTTAGTTTTTCTTTTTAGGCAGGAGGGGGGGGGGTCCAAATTTAGGTATGGTAGATATTTTGTTATTAGCGACGATAAAACTATTTGTAACTTATAAAATTGAGTTATGAATTTGACTGATAATCTGCAACGACATATAAGCCACTTTCTGGATATCCAAATACAGTTTTATTTACGTTACGAATTGGAATGTTGTCTCACGGCTCAAAGTTAGGGGAAGAGGGGAGTTGACCTTGTGGCTAAGAGGTCATTTTCCAGGAAATGGACTGATATTTCACTACAACTTCCATAATATCGCGCTGACGCGTCGCGAGTATACGGGTCACGTTAACCGCTATTACTAATCGTCTTCGAATAATTTATCATGAAACTCATAATTTACCCAGCAAGATACGGGTGTTTGTTTATCACCCATGTGTGACAATCTAACTATGATCAAATAAGAGAAAGGAATCGTAGAGACGCGATGTCTGTCGCGCTGAATTCTGAACTCGGGATCATGACCTTTTTCATGACCTCTAGGTAAATCAAGGAAATTATTATCGCTATTTTTCTGTCGTGGTGTATTACTTTCTATTTAGCTGTGAGCGAGAACCTTTGGGCAAAATAAATATTCCGACTCGGTTTAACCATTTATTTCCCAAATGAAAATACTTGCTTTGTTTTTCAATGAATGGGGATAGCAGATTACAAGTTTACCATAGGTCGGTGAACGGCACATAAATAAACCGGTTCTATGACCTAATAGGAGCAGCCCCGAAAATTCCATTATTACGTAACGAAAGGACATTTTGTACAGTTAGGAAAGATTGCATTCCGTTGTATAATACGTATAATTGTTTCTCTGCGTAAAAATGAATGCTGTAGCCAAAACGACCGCAGACTCATCTGAGTCCAGGTCAAAAGTTGGGGAACAGTGACTCGCTCAGAGTCTTGTTTCGAAAGCAGATGGAAAAAAACAATTCCAAAAATCAGATCTA